TGAACTGAAAGCTCTATTTTAGGACTTTTTCTAAAAATTCTTTAAAATAGGGCCAAGGATGAGGGAGGTCTTGTTGGTCTCCGTCTCCCGATACGCTCTCGCCTGTGTCCGACCTTTCAGACATTTCAACATCTTTTTCTGAATCCCACATTGTAGCATGGCATAGACAATTCACGTTAGCAGTTTGAAGAACACCTGCTTGCTTCTGATGATTTCCTTTAGCTAACCAATGAGTGTTTACGTTATATGACTCATCCAATCACACTAGTTTTCACTAGATGTGGATGGAGCCAATGATCTGCATTGGATGGAGCACATGACGTGAAATAAATATAAACATTAAACCAAAGCCAAGAGTAACGAGTAAAAAATGTAAGGAATACAAAGTAGAGATACTTGTGTGAAAATGTAATGAGTTTAATTCAGAAGTAGGAAGAAAAATAACTAATGGAGTAAAGTATAGATACCTAAAAAGTGTACTTTAGTACAAAGTATTTATACTTCATTACTTGACACCTCTGACTGTTAGATAATAAAATTGAAATGTTAGAAAAATAGTAAAGTATTTGCTTCAAAAATGTTTTGTGACCATAAAAAATGCTTCAGTGTGATTTATTTGGCTCAAATTAATGCATAAAAGCAATAACCACTATTGGACATAATTTAGGAAATTTGGAGAGGTCTGAGAGGCTGGTGACATCAGAAGTTCAAAGTTCTATAGCTCTGGAACTGTTACACCTAGAGGTCTGAAATGTTTTGCAGTTGTGGTTGACATGATGCAGAATAAATGTAATGCAATGGCACATACCTATTGTCAAGCATGTCTTTGTTACTGCTATTTAAAATGACCCATTATTTTTAGGAAGAAAAACTCCTGTACTATGATTCTTTATTATTATTAATAATAAAATATATTTTACCAGAATAACCCCAGTAGCATGAGCTGAGCATACTAATCAGCCAGACACACACGGATTAATCAGATTATCCAGAAATGAAAGGAGACAAAAGAGCTGCTGAAGTTTAGGAAGTTGTGGAGCTGAACATAGAAGCCGTGAGAAATGAAATCTGCTTCTCTGAGATGCGCAGGGCCCTGATAGGTCAGTAGTAATAAATATCATCCTTTACTAGCAGGCTTTGACCGTTACTTGTTTTTGATCCATGTTAACACTGAAAATCTTCTTCAAATCCATAGACACAGTTCTAGTTTTCTATTAATAACAAATCGATTTATTCACTTATTAATCATGGGAAATGCAAATATCATGGAGAGGTACATTCCTGCCTTTTTACACCTTTTTAAAAAAAATATTATTAATTAAATGTATATTTAAATTCAATTTAGTTTATTTATATAGAGCCAATTTACAACACATGTCATCTCAAGGCAATTTACAAAGACAATTCAACCAGATCATGAAGTAAGATTTCAAAGTTCAAAGTTTTCTATCTTTGGAAAACCAGTTAATTGCATCGACTCATTGACTCGAAGGCAATCCCTCACCCCAAGCATGCTAATAACGACAGTGGAGAGGAAAAACGTTTTAACAGGATGTAACCTCCAGCAGAACCAGGCGCAGTCTGAGCGGCCATCTGCCGAGAATTAGGAAACTGGCCAATTTCTGACCCAGTTTCCTAATCTTACCTTGATATTCTTGTTATTTACAAGCTGGAAATGTCCTGAGATTGGATTTCAGACATGTGGTCACCTTCATAGAAACAACACTGGAAACAAAATAAAAATGCTAAAAAGTAGCCCCAAATTGGTTATGAATGTAAATGTCAGTGTTCAACTATGAAAGAGTTCAATTAAGCCTTACTTTCCTTAGCATAAACAGTGAAGCGACAATTAGCTTAGCTCATGCAAAAATAATCCTAACAATCATTTTAGTGCACATGGCTACAGCTGTCAGTACACATTCAAGTTATTTATCAAGGTACTCTTTAAGAGAACAGCTATTAGACTGAAGATGCTTTGCTAACATTGCTAGCTGCAACAAGGAAGACTGCAGTATTGTCTCATGAGGCAGTGTCACTACCCGATCTGTCCCAGAAGCACGATCTTTTCTCTGCATGCGCCATCAGCTCCTTTGCGCATGCAGATATTCATGCGGATCACTCTTGATTTTATTTTGTTAAAAAGACCTAAATGACGTTTTTCCCTCCCCAAAAGTAGTAAGCGTACTAAAATATAATGTGTTTAAAGTTATTCGATCTGCACCGAAAATGGGATCATATGCTACTTCCAGTAGCTAACTTTTTCGGCTTTGAATTTAAATATAAATTTAGTCTTTTTGAGTTTTATGTTTTCGTTTAGTTTTAACATTATGGTATATAGTGCATAATCTAAAGAAAGAAACAACTAAAATGCAGATAAACATGGTTTAATCATATTTTGCGGGCCTGCTCTGAGCATGTAGAGAGAAGCAGTTTAATGAAGAAAATGTAAAAAGCATCAGAATTGTTTCACAAAAGTCATAAAACTTTTTTAAAGATGTATATTAGCATTCTTTTGTGAATTAAGGATAGAAATAAGTAATTTTAGTACATTAATTACATTATTTATGGACACCCAAATGTGTATCTGTTTGCGCATGCGTAGTACCTGAAAAGCAGCCAATCACAGGCTGTGTACTTTTTTAGGTTGGTTTCAAGAAACAGGTTCGTAAAAAGTAAAGGAGAATCTACAGCCGTATAGAAACCAAGAGAAGGAGCATGAACTCCTGGTTGTCATATATTGAGGGCCTCATTTCATGGAGCATGCATAAAATGTCTAAAATTCACATGAGGAGCAGTTAACGTGTTTTAAATAGAACTGCTATGAGTATTTATTACATGTTTGCACTTGGCAGAATTATTATTTCGTAAACATTAAGAGTCTGTTAAATTTTATGAAGCCAGAATGAAAAAGGAATAAATATCTATCTTTTTTTCAGTATTTCAGCTGATTGCTTTGATTTTGTGTTCAATCCAAAACTTTCTGGCCAGTTTTGCTTGTCTAAAAAGAAATACTAAGTTCAGATAAACTGTTGGACTTTCTCCCAGTGTGTGATCATGAGTTGAAAGAAATGTTTTCAATATGTTTCTGTCAACGGCTCCCATTCCATGTTTACATGCCAGGACATTTGACTTTCATGCTTTGCCATAGAGTTCAGCTTTGGAGTCACAGTTAATTACAGGTTCAGTAACAGAGGGAAAAAAAACCCTCCATGCTACATATAGTTATCGTCATTAAAACAGCAATTACATATCACAAAAGCAGAAAAAAAAAACACTCTTCTTGCTTCTTCTAAAGTAGAGGTCATGCATCACAAGTAAGCACGAATATTTATTGATGAATTCTCTCCAATATGTCAGACATTTCAAAACCTTATTAATCCCAATTGATCTAAAATTGTCCCACACACTGTTTTTTTTTAACAGAAAACATTAAAACATTGCACGTCCTTTTCTAAAGAGATAACGTTGATGAAAACATATTTATTTTTGTGAAAATAACAATGACATTACTGACTATGACTTCCAAATAAAACAAAGCACAACATACGGTTAATTAAAACAAGGGAGGACAGTGGAGCAATGATCGTGGTAATTGCCTCTGAGAAACGTATTCTTCAGCACGGGTCCACTACATCTGAACAGTTGTGTACTTCTGTACTGTTACCACCCTTGCAAATACTATCACAGTATTCTTAATTTATTTAGATAAAATTTCTCTTCAAGGTTAAAATCAGTATTTTAAATGGTGGTAACCTAATTTGTTCAAATTACCATCAGATTAATCTCAGTGTTAATCTTTGTAGTTTTAATAGTTTTATTGTTGTTGGTCAAAGGAAGAAGATTAGGGCCACTGGAAAAAAAA